ACTTAAGTTTTATTTGAATAGTGTATCGCGTGGTTAGATTGGTCTTAGTCCATCGGCGTAGTGTCACGCTTGGATGATCAACGCCCCAAGTGTCGATGTGCGCACAAGTACGATTCAAGCATTCACTGCGTGTACCTCCTATGCTACAGCGATCAAGAAACGCCCTCGGTTGATCCACCTGTGCGACCTTATGCAAAAACTCTCGCATGTGGCCCAATAGCTCAACGAAGATACGCCCACGTAAGGAATGGTGATAACTCTCACGAGTGGAGGTAAGTTGTTCCTCGCATGATCGTATTTTATTGTAGGGGTTCGCGAGAGGTATAGTTAGCGCACTCAGTCAGAACGACACCGCTCCTAAATGCTTTGCGTCCCAAACTGCCAAAAGCATGTGTAACGGGGCTGAGAGGGTCCCCGTGCGGAACCGATGCGCTCGACAACTGAACCTCTGAACATGGGCCAACAATTAACAGCAGAAAAATGAGAGAAGTATAACAGACACGCTATATATTTGTGACGATATATATATCGTAATATATATATCTATATATATATATATATATTAGTTCTGTTTGTGACGATATATACTACGACTTCGCTAGCTTCCTGCTACGGTTTTTTCCGGTCAGGTTGAGCGGCAGTGGTCGGGGCCGTTACTAAGCGGCCATGCTGTGCCTCTAGTGTCAGCGGCGTGTCTGGAGTGTATTTTTTGGCTGTGGCAGACCTTTCTTTGTTTCGTGGATGTTTTGCTGGCTTGTGATGGGGTGTGAACCGACAGTTTGTAGAGTTTTCCATCTGGTGTGGGTGAGTGATAGTCTACTTTGATTTTGGTTNTCTCTAGGCTTTTGCGTCTCTCAGTGCTTTGCCCTTCGGTTATTTGATTAGCTACTCGGGACTGTGGGCTCTCCCTGTGTTGAGACATGGATCGGGCTGTCCCGTATAGTGGATTGAAGGCCTGGCTGTCGTTGGTTGATCTCCTTTCCGATTGTGTTGTTACCTTGGGACTGGGCCCGTTTGGAAGAAAGGCGAATTTTGAGTCAGATGCTCGGGAGTTGGTGACGTGGCGGATGATTTTCCTTTTCGTTTTTATTTATATTTTTGGAATGAGTGAAGGTCCTTTATATTCGCTTCTGTTTCTTACCATTAGGTTCGGTCGTCGAGGAAATTGCCGGATTGTAGTATATGGACGTTTGACTTTGGTTCGCTCCGTGCCTTGCGCCTGTCCCCTTTTTTGTATCTTTGCTAACCGTTTGGGAGTGTTTCATGTCATTGGCCTTGCAGACTGGGATTTGCTTCTCTTAGGTTCAAGCCCGTCAGTGGGGCCCGATTGTTATCTGCGCCCTGTTTTTTTTTGTTTTTTTTAAATCATCAGGCGGGCAAAGTTTGGAGCGAAGGTCGCTTGTATCTGTCTAGTAGGACCAGTTTTTTTGCAATCCAATGCATGCCGTATGAAGGTGATTCTGACCGTCTCATTGTGACCGTTAGATCACCTAATAAAGGCCGAAACGTAGTCGAGTGGGGCCTACCCCTTGCATTCACGTTTCGATTATTTGTTTATAATGACCGGTGCCGTGCAGAAGACAGAGGCCGAGCAAGTGTACAACTTAGAGAGGAATGAAACCAGTCGTTATGTCCTTGGGCATGCAACGCACCCGCCCGTGGGCTAAGTCCCACTAGCGGTGTTTTTTTTTTTTTCTTTTTTTTTTTGCGGTGGTTTAGTTTTCGTTTTGTAAAATTTTCAACGTGGCTACAGTGCGGCCATGAGATGTACAGATCGGATGGCAGGAGCCGATGCGTACTCGAGTTTCAAGTCCAAAGCCCCGCTTGGGGGGGGCTTTGCCCCAGCGGCTCGACTCCTGGGCACGAACATGTGACCTTCCACCGGCTAACTGGTGCTTCTTGCACAGTAATCGTTCTTTCCCTGTGTCCGGGACCCCTCCGTTTCCACAGGTGGCCCCACCATGGAATTGGGGAAAGGCCACTCTCAGAGGAAAGTGATGTCGTTCCGTGATCAGCAGGAATTATCTGAAAATGAACCGAGCAATAGTAGACTGCTAGACAAAAAAAAAGAATAAAAAAAAGTAGACTACTAGACTATAAGAAACGCAAGAACAGAGGTAGCAGCCTTGTGGAGAAGAAAGTGACAAAGAAAGCCAGTGAAGGGAGAAATGGGACATAGAAAGAGACACCGAGACATTCTGGCTTCTTTGACGTCCCCAGGAAGCGAGGAGGATGTTCTTTTTCTACTCCCCCTGCGTCCGCTCTCTCCCGTTGCCCCTCTCCCAGGACCACCCACGACCCGGGCCCCCCTTTTGTGCTTTAAACAAGGGGGGGAAACCGAAGGAAGAGGAGAATTCTTTGAGTTGCCATGACCATTATCTACTACGAGGAGAAACCCAAAGGAGCATAATGGCATGGGCCGGGCTTGGGCTGGCCTTAGTGAAATTGTGAGGTTCATTCCATTAGTATTGATATGCCATACATATTCTGGAAATGGTTCTTACGGTGAGAGAGAGTGTCTGTGAAAAGGAAAAAAGAAAGGGAAAAAAAAAAAGAAAAGAAAAAGGAAAAAAAGAAGAGGCAAAAGAGGAAAAAGAAAATGAAAAAAAGAAAGAAAGGGAAAGAAAAAAAGATAAAAGGAAAAAAAGAGAAGAGGACGAACATGGCGCTTACCCTGATCTTGTCCAGATTCTGGAGATCCATCGTCCTGCAGGGCCGTGGGCCCAATGGGACAGTCTGTCCTTTTGTTTGTAAACGACCATCGGGACAGTCTATCACGGTCTGTTTGTGTGTTGAGTTGAACGAAGTCTAGATGTGGCCTCCATATGCAGTCATGCACCCTTATACGCCTGTCTCTTATACACATCTAGATGTGTATAAGAGACAGGTGTGTGTGTGTGTGTGTGTGTGTGTGCTGATGTCTGTCTTTGTTGCATCAATGACTCGATGACGTGTCTTTGTTACATGAATCGGTAGAAAGAACACTTGCACCCAAACACGACAGTTTCGTCAATAACTACTAGATGACTGATTGCATCTCCATTTTTTCTCCCCTTGTGCTATGGGTAACAAACTGCACTGTTGCAGCCTGAAAACTCTGCACTCAGATTAGAATGGCCCCCGCACAAGGATGAGAAATGGAACAAATACATTGGGGAGAGCAAAAATAAACCAGCATACCATGATTATGAGAAATCTGAGTGGAGGGAGCAGGGAAAGGAGAAATGGTGGGTAAGTTTTTTTCATTTTCCCTTCTAAAACTTACATCATCCCTTAGGGCTGCATTCCCCTCGCCCCCGCTGTGGACAATCTCAAATAACATCGGACAATCTCAAATAACATCGGAGATGCAGCTCATGCAACCCGCATAAACACGGACAAAAACCCTTGTAGGCGTATTTGTGCCGACAGTGGGACAGGATCTGCCATTAACGGTCCACATGGAACATGGACCCAACCACGGCTTTTTTTCCTATTGCACTACGGATCCTTTCAATTCTCAACCGACCGGCAAATTGATAGCTGTCGGTCCTCCGCCAAAGCATGAAGGACTGGTCGATGTGAAATATCGACCCCCCAATACCCTTTTTGCACTGGTCGCCCCCTATGAGAATTGGCCCACCTAAAGATGTGGCAACCCACTATACCGCGGGCAATTCACAGGTGTACCAACTGGCCAGTCGGTGACGCAATCATTGTCAATTTTTTTTTTTTTTTTTCCGAAACCATTGTCATATTTTGGAATGTCATATTTTGGAATGTCATATTTTGGAAATGAAACTATACTTTTGTCATAGTAGGTGGGGAAATGGCGCACACAGCCAGTCTGAAGGCACCCGTATGTGAAGGTGCTTGATTGGCATGCGGACACAGTGCTCAGTTGCATTCTGACTGGGCTAATTTTGTCTTTTTGAACATGCTCTTTGCAATTTTGTCTTTTTGAACATGCCCTTTGCAATTTGTCTTTTTGCACATGCCCTTTGCGAACGGATAGGTGAAGGAAGAGAAGAGTGCGTTGAGGGCCATAGGGCCTCGCTCCATGGCTCACCAAATGTGCAAAATGAGAATGAATCTTCCTCGAGGACATCCAAAGATACACCGCTATAGGTTTTGTCTTTTGTGCATGCAGTGAGTAGTGGAGCCAGCCCCATAATGTGCTTCTACGCCCATCCTAGGCCGATAATGTGATTCTAGGCCCACCATAGGCCCATAATGTGATTCTACGCCCATCCTATTTTGGGTGCGACTGCCCCGAAGCGAGTGAGAACATGCTCTGGGGCGTGCGTACACTCCGAATTTGGACGTGTTTCTGGACCTCAATACCCTGAAAATGAACATCCCACCCTTCCCCACCAGGCAGGTAGAAAGGGCAAGGATCGCGGAGCGGAAAGTGAAAACAAGGGGGGATACATTTACCGGTAGTCCATCGGGAAAGATCAGGTCACAAGGTCTGCGCCGGACTGTTTTTTGGGCCGCGCTGGTCGCTGCTGATGCGGCGAAATGTAGCCTCTACGGTAGTACCTGGCGCGCTGGTGGTGTCTCCGCTCGGGGATCGCTCAACGCGTCGGTCGCTGCCGGCGTTGCTGATGTTACTCGCGCCGCTGGTGCCGCTGGTGCCGCTGGTGCCACTGGTGCCACTGATGCGTCGGGGTTGCTGCGCGCTTTTTCTCTCGGCGGGGTACGGTCTGCCATGCGCTGGCTGAATTCCGCCCCCACTCCCGCGCTTACCCCAGACCCCCTGCGCGACGGAGGCTATGGGCCTCGCTGCACTACTCTCGAAATGTGCAAAACGAGAGTGAATCTTCTGCTAGAATATGGAAAGATACACAGCCATGATTTTTGTCTTTTGTGCATTTCAAGAGTAGTGCAGCGAGGCCCTCTATGTCCATGCACCCGCCGGTGCACGCAAGTTTGCAGGCGAAAACGATCGCGGCCGAGGCCTGGCCTGAATCAAATTTGGAAGCGTACGAATTCCACGGCGGACTGAAAACGGAGGCTGAAGGCGGGAAAAGGAAGAATATGACCGTACGATGCAGTTTGCTGCAAAATGTGTGTGCTGCTTTGGCGGGGAATGTGCGTAAAGGGTACGTACTGCCAAGGGTTGTGATTTGTGATGCATATAGTCGCGTCGATCCCTCGCCGGCCGATCCGCCGGTCTGTCGGTTGGGTCCGATCTGAGGCCCCGGGGGACGCATTGAGCGGGACTACTGCCTGGTGCGGACTACAGTGTAGTTAGTACCTGATTCGATTCGCGCGTGGGGGCAAAGAGAACGGACAAGTTGTGAGTCCGTGGGATTTGGGGGCACCGGGCGACGAGATCGTCGAGGGTGTTGGCAGGCGGTGGAGGGGGAATGGAATGGTGGTGTGAGCGTCGAAGGAAGGAAGGAAGCGCGATGGAGAGAGGGGGAAGAGGGAGATGGGGGCATGGGGGGCCAGGTGCTGGGGTGCAGAGATGGCGGTCGCAGCAGGCGGGGGTTTTGCCCCTTCTCTTTGTGTGGGCATTTGCAGGGTTGATGGCATCTGGGCAGGCGCGCTACGGGGAGAAACTTATGGAAGAACCTCCGTCGAAAGAGAATTACTGGGACTCCGAGAACAGCGTCTCGATGCCGCTGACGTTGGTACATGGGCCGAAGGACTGGCATCAAAGAGGACGACACTTAATGAATGCCTCAAGCCCAACCATAGCCAGATACAAGCTCGACGACAATAACTCCTCGTTCGCCCTTTCATTGTATGTACGCTCACTCTCTCTCATTCATTTGTCTCTCATTGCTTTATCTGACGCTGCTAGGAGGGACCTCCCAATCTCTCTCCTTCTGTCGCTTCTTTGGTCGCCGTGCTTATCAACCCTCTGACCGTCTTCGACGAGGCCCAGCGGCCATCACTGTTCTTCCTTGTACCCCTCTCAGTCTCTTCCACTGTCCTTGCTGGGTATCTGTCTCTTCTTTGTTTCTCTCTACATTTCTCTTTCTATCCTCTTCATGCCTGTGGCTCTATGTGCCTTTACGTGTCTGAACGTCTCTCTTTGTCTACGTGGAAGTTACTCTGTTTGTCTCTCTGCTCTGCCTCTCTGTTCTGTCTCCAGGTCTCTGTTTCCCTGTTTACCTCTATGTCTCTCTGAACGTCTTTATGTCTCTCGCTGCCCCCCTCTTTCTCTGTCTCTGTCTCTCTATCTTTGTCACTCTGTGTCTGTGTCTCACTGTGCGTCTCTCTCTCTCTCTCTGTGCCTCTCTCGGTCGCACTCGCTGTCGCTGACGGTCTGTCGCTGTATGTCGCTCTTCCTCTTTCTCTCTTGGTCTCTCTTCCACTCTGTTCCTCTCTGTCGCTCTCCCTGTCTGTCTCTCTTTGCGTCTCTCCTCATTGTCTGTCTGAATGTTGACGTCGTCTCTCTCGGTCTCTCCGCGTTTGTCTTCCTCTCTTTGGCTCTATACCCCGCTCCGTTTCTCTCTCTCTCTCTCTGTGTTCCTTTCTCTGCTTTACCAACCGTGTATGTCTACCTGCGTGCTTGCCTGATTACTTCCCACGTTGCCTCTCTCGCTTGCGCGCCGTCGCGTGGGCATCGCGTCGATTTAAAACTGGCTTTGAGCAAGTGGCGTAGCGCTGGGCGAGCCCGGTTCAATATTATCTCCGCCGCCGATCTGCCTTTCCTCTGTGACCTCGTAGCCAACCAGATTGTTCTCTGTCCTGACCTGTGTGGCCACGATCGTTTCACGTAAGCCAAATCTCTCTGTGAAACGGAGTTGTAATCTCTCGTATGGAAATGCCGTCCCCTCGCGCGATTGAGACACGCAGCCAGCCCGTTGGGATGTCGCCGAGCCTTGGGAACAGAAAAGTTAAGAACCTCCTTTCCTTTGTCTTGTGCGACGAGGAGGAGAACAGGGGCTCTCTGGGCGTATGACACGTGTTGCTGCCAGCCAATGTTGTCAACGGCACTTCGTGATCGAGTGACATTTTCTCGGTCGTGGTGTGGTTTTGGACGGAAGCTACATTTTGTAGCGACGAAACTACTGGCAGTTCCGAGTCGACCGCGATCGCTACCTGTCAGGCTATGCCTCGGTCGGGATCGGGATCGATCCAGCCGAGAAAGTCAGGTCGCATCTCACTTGGGACGGGATTGAAAATGCCATGCCCCGATCCCGATGGCTTGTCTGGATGGACAGGATCTCACTGATTGACACGTGGCGTGCTGGTCCGACTTGCGCTGGTTTTGTTCTTGTTTTGTCCAGATAGCCGTGAGTGCCGATTCACACACACGTGGGGTGCTGGTCTGATCTGCGTATTTTGAGACATAGTTTGACCTCTATATTCCGCGCTAGGTAGCATTCTGGGCTCCACCTCTTGGAGGGGCGTTTGTCCGTCTGGAGGAAAAGTATCATCACGTTTCTTGTATATGTGTTGTATTTCTTGTTTTTCTTCGTGTGCCCCGCTGTCGCCCGTGTCCGAATGGCCCCAAAACATGCAGTGGTTAATTGCTCGTAGTAATTTGCGAATCAAAACGCCATGGGCTTACCAAAACGATGTTGCTGATGAATGCAACGGAGTGACCCGAGTTCCGTCCGACTAGGGGCGTAGGTCCTGTATATTACAGTATTTGGGATAATCATAAGCGCAATAGAGGCAGGAAGGATGAAGACAATCATTATGAAAAGAGGTCGTATTTTCAGCATTGGGAGTAAAAACTTCTCTAGATTGTGTGCCGGCAACGGCCTCGATATTATCGGGATCGGGGTTTGGTGCGCGGTATTTCAGCCAGTCACCACAGGGCCAACTCACACAGCAAGTCTTTTTCGAATAATTTGCGGACGGGATTGCGGTCAGATTCATCCAGGAAAGTCCTGGTGTGAGCAATTTGCGGACGGGATTGCGGTCAGATTCATCCAGGAAAGTCCTGGTGTGAGCGCGCTCTCATTCATTCTCACTCTGCTAACCGCCTTCAAGTGATGGATGACAACAAGGAAGGGAATTCATCACGAGGTCAGGGCTTTGTCAGCGCTGCTGAGTAGCCAGTCGTCCGTGCTTTGGCGTGTTGCTTTCTCTTCCCCAACGATGATCGAGGTAGCGAATATCGCAGTTTTCATGTCTTCGTGTCTTTCACGTCCGGCATGTATTAGCGTGACAGTATACATAGGTTTTGACGCCGTAGTGGTTCGGTACCAATGCTCATTCATGGTTGCGCATCGTTACCTGGTCTTGCTCTAGCTCGGCCAAGGAGCTTAGTCGGACGATAACTGCTTCCCTGCCCGTTTTCCCTTCCCCCCCCCCCCCCTGCTCCCACCCCCTAACCCTCCCGGGCCACGTATGCTTTCTGTGTATTCAACAACACAGGCTTACGCTCTCTCCCCGACGCTTCGCATGGTGTTGTCTTGGTTATTGATATTCAGTGCCTCCCGCCCATGTCTCTGGCCCGGCCCCTGGTCTTTCTGTCTCGCCCTCTTGTGATGCCTCTATGGGACATGCGTTCACTCTCGGCGGCTTGGTAGACCTATCTCGTCAGTATGTTGTCCTTCGTTCTCCCTCCCCTCCGCTCAACTCGTTTCCTTCCCTATGCTTCCTTCTCTTCATCCCTCCTGTTCTTTCTTTTTTTCTCATTCTCTCGCCTGGGGTTTATAGAACTCGGGAGGCCAGACGACTACATTGTACTCTTTCGAGCTCCTTCGGTACGTGCCTTGTCACGTTCAATCTTCTTCTCACGTCGGTCTTTCTGGCTTTGTAAGTTTTCCCGCGTACCGCCTCTCTCCATCAGTTTGCCGCTAGCGCGCGACTCCTGATCTGCCATTATTGTTTTGTTGCAATATAGCGTGTTTAGGCTTTTGGGAATGGACGACGAATTCATCGGGTTTGAATAGATACTCGTGATTCATTTTTTTGGTGACGGTTTCGTTTACTGAACTGGCTCGTATTCGTGTTTTTTGGCGTCGTTTTGCACTAGTCAGTGGGGAAGAAAGAAAAACCCTTAATGGTCGCTAATTTGTCGATTTGCTTGATTGGCGGCTTGCTTTCTGGAGAGATCAGCCCACAGGCACTGTCATATCGATGTTGGTTTTCTTCAGCTAATTGGTTCGTTTCTGTTCGTAATTTTGTTGCTGCATGGTAGTATGCCCGCACGCACGCACGCACGCACTCACGCACGCATGTGTGTACTCTTTGTTTTGCTCCCTAGTTACGTTTCATAAGCGTTTTCAATGGTTGTATGTTGTGTTTTGTATGTATGGAGTGAGAATCATCATGTCGAATGCCCTCTGCCTCCGACGAAATTTACCACTAATCGATTATGAGGACCTCTGTGTGGTCTGAGATCCTTGGTATTTCGACCATGTGATGACCTCGGTATCTCCGCCAGATTATCTGCCACGTGGCTTCCTCGTAATTAGGACCGATGCATCTGGCCCGCCTTCAGTATTCTATTCAGGGTAATTAACGCTCCCTTATTCTATTCAGGAGTAGGAGCGCAATGACGGCTCGATTCGTCTTCTCTAATGGTGTTGCCCCTCCAGTGAAACCGCGTTTCGGATAATGTGAACGCACCGAGCGAGCTCCTCTTGCTTGCGCACCTGTCCCCATACCGTTGCCGCCCGAATATAATGTGATCGATTACGAATCACGTGGCTTATGAACACATCTCTGGGGTGTGATTTGCGAAAAGGAAAAAAAGCCCATTCTGGGGATGTGGCATAGGCTGAGGCTGGTTAACAGTAGCCTCTCTCGGTGTTCCTGCTATGGAAGAGTGGGTGGGTCCGGGTCCGGGTCCGGGTCCGAGTGCGGGTGCGTCCGAATTTTAGGGGCTGTAAAGCGATTGGAAGAAGTTTATAGAATCCCTTTGAAAGCTATAACAGATGTTATGGGCCCGAGGGTTGTGTTGGATTTGTCTGAGCTGGTATAGCCTAAAGCGCGCAGCGACTGCTTGTCCATTGCAGTGCTATGGGTGGCTTTGCGTTGGGGGGGGATCGATCCCCGCGACGGTCGTGGCGCATCCTTGGTTTTTATTTTCAGCGCTGGTGTTCAAGCGCTCGCCGAGTCTACCCGGCCGGTGATTATAGCCGTATCTGGGCAATTTTCTGTCCAGATGCAACGGTAGTGACCGGGCGTTCTATTCGGGTGAATACGGGAGTTGTGGCTGTGGTGAGGGAATCATCTCGTCGATCTGTCGATGCACATGTGTGCATTTTGAAAGGAGACATCTTTTTTGTATTTTTTTATTATTATTTTTAACTAGCGTAAAGAAGACATCAAGGAACGAAGAGTGTTGTTGTTGAGCGACCGTGTGAGCGTTGGTTTTGATACGATGTCTTCTTCAAAATGTGGTCACTGTCTCTTATACACATCTAGATGTGTATAAGAGACAGCCCCCATCTTCTTCCTTCATCTCCACCAATTCTCCAAGAAAAATGGTTTGGAAGTCAATCAACAATTCCTGCTCTGTCAATTTTTCGTCTGCAACTTGTGGTATTCCTCGTTCAGAGTTGCTA